CAAAGACTGGTGATATTTCACCAAAAACAGACTTATGTTTAGTACTCCATAGGCTGATATTATAGCCAAACTTTAGACATCTTACCAAAATGCATGTGATAAAAATTATGTTGTCAAAAAAAAATCATTACCTTCACAACACATAGAGCATTCTGCATAGTATTCACGGTAAATATTAAAACAAAGACACATGAATGCACCCCTAAGAGGGCACCACATAATCCCAAAATCTAATCCTCTCATGATCTAGTTGAAAGATGATCTCTTAAAGTAATGAATGTACCTTGAAGAAACGCTTTAGGTCAAATAACATGGAGGAAAACTGTATTTTAAGTGTTATAATTAAAATCCCAAGTGTAAAGGAACAAAGAGGTAATCTGAAGTTACAACCAATAAAAAACACACTAGTAACTCTTAATTGTCTTTAGAAAATAGACATTCAACCAAGCTGGAAAAGACATCATAAAATCACTAAACAGCATTTATGAAACTAAAAAACAAACAAAAAATCAGTAGTCTACAGACTTTGGGACAACTTGAGAATATGAATATATATTGTTGTGTCAGTAATACACACTTATTAGGATTTTTCATGTCTATCATTACAGTTAGAAATGGCCATCACAGCTAAAGGCTACAAAACCTAATAAAAGAGAAAATTACTACTGATAAGACTATTAGTAGTTGAAAACAGTTGTATAAAAGCAAACAAAATATCCCTGAAAAAAACAGACCTCAAAGGATGTAAGAAGCCAAAAAAGATCATAGAACCATAGAATACTAAGTTAGAGAGAACACAAAAGCTCAACCGTGCTTCTGAAATGTTTCAATCTTTGAAGAAACAAACCATGAATGAGAACAGTTACAATCAAAACAAATACCATACTTTTACAAACAATACCTTTAGAAAAAGAGTTGTGGGGGAAAATAAACAACAAAATATACAATTTCCACATAGAGAAATAAGTGCGACAGGCCTCAATTACTTAGTCAACAAATATCTGCTGAATGCATTTGTGTGCTACACACTAGGGATAAAATAACCACCAGGACAAAAACAGCCCCTTCGGAGAACACCTCTGCCAGCAGTTGTAAGATCTAGTTCAACGTGTTTCTCAAAATAGGGTGAGTCGAAGTCATCCAGCTCCAACCTCAAAATTCAGATGCTCTATCCTCAGGAATTCTGACTCAGTAAGCCTTGGGTGGAACCCAAGAGTCTACTTTCCAAAAGCTTTAGTGGAAAGAGAAATTTTAGCTCTATTAATTAGCTGTACAGATTTTAGTACTCTTGTTTTAGAGATGAAATAGACAAATCTGTTTAAAGGGTTTATTCTAAAGAATGAAATCTTTTTCAGCATGCTTGGCACACACTACCTGACACAGGTGTATTCAAAAAGGCAACTATGAAACAGCTCCATGAGAATGAGTCTGAAATGTAGATTCATATTTAACTCAGATGCTTCCTCAATATATAGCAGCAGACAAGTCATTTTTTTTTAAGATTTTTTATTTATTAGACAGAGATCACAAGTAGGCAGAGAGGCAGGCAGAGAGAGAGAGAGAGAGGGAAGCAGGGTCTCTGCTGAGCAGAGAGCCCGATGCGGGGCTCGATCCCAGGACCCTGGGATCATGACCTGAGCCGAAGGCAGAGGCTTTAACCCACTGAGCCACCCAGGCGCCCCCAGACAAGTCATTTAACATCTCTGAGCATTAGTTTCTGTCTCTATAATTTGCGGGTAATACTTGAACTCTTTACCCGGAGATGCTGGAAGAAAAAACTTGGGTATTTTTATTAGGCTGTTGAGAGAGACTACCAGCACTGTTGGTCATAGCGAAGTATACAAAACTGTAATCCTAATATAAAGGGAAAAGTCTTATGAGGAAGAAAATTGAGATGCAAAATAAATAAATAAATACAATATTTATCCAAAAAAATGTCCTTATTCAAGAGTTTAAGTACCAACTGTGTACCACCTAGAAAGTAACTTCCAAATTCAACTAGAAGTATAACCCCATAAACACATTATTAATGTCACTAATCTTAACACTGCTTTGAGGGTTGCACAAAGACAAGGTGGACATAGTTTCAGAAGTAAACACTGGCCAGAAAGACTAGATCACCCAGTCCAACCACCTCTTTAGTTCTTACAACTCTTTCTGTAACAATCCCAACCCATACTCCTCTAATTCCACTGGTTAGAAACCTACCGATTGTACAACAATCTGAGGAGCTTTCTTAAGTACAGATTCTGAATTTCTGATTCACTAAGTCCAGGGGAGAGTTTCAGGACCTGTTGGGGCAATAGGCTTTCCAACTGTTTGTGAAGTGAAGCCAGAATCTGGCCTCCAGGGACGCTGCCCTCACCAGCCCATTCTGCATTTGGACAGTGCAACAAAACTCTGATGGTGGATTGCAAACGTCCCACTTTAGTGGCCATCTTAGTCCTAGTTCTTACTGTAGTTTCCAAAAACACAACTTAATCCATCTCCAGATTAAACATCCGTTCCTTCAAATAACCTACATATGAAACATTCCAAACCAGATTAACCCTGAGTTTGTCCACATTTTTTTTTTTTTAAGATTTTTATTTATTTATTTGACAGAGATCACAAGCAGGCAGAGAGGCAGGCAGAGAGAGAAGGAGGGGAAGCAGGGCTCGATCCTGGGACCCTGGGATTATGACCTGAGCCGAAGGCAGAGGCTTTAACCCACTGAGCCACCCAGGTGCCCCTGTCCACATTTTTAGATATGGCCCCCAGAAGAGAACACAATCCTCATGTAGAATACAGTAGGGATGCTCTTTCTTCTAATTAAAGTACAATCTTTTCATCAACATAGATTAAGTGTGCCTTTTGCAAACGTATGGCCATGTCACATTATGTGTTTAATGATTTTGTTTTGTTTTGTTCTTTTAAGAGAGGAGTGAGCAAGCCAGAGCAGGGGTTAGAGGATGAAGAGAGGGAGAGACTCTTCCATCCAAGTACTAACCAGGCCCGACCCTGCTTAGCTTCCAAGATCAGACGAGGTTGGGTACATTCAGGGTGGTATGGCCGTAGATGAGAGGGAGAGAATCTTGAGTAGGCTCCAGGGCCCAGTGTGGAGCCTGATGCAGGGCTTGATCTTATGACCATGAGATCATGACCTGAGCCAAAAATCCAGAGTTGGAAACTTAACCAATTGAACCACCCAAGTGCCCTACATTAAGTCATTTAATAAGCATATTAAAAAACAGTTTGGAATAGATTTCAGAATAATTTTATATTTAGACACAAGTGGCAGATATATTACTGCAAACTCCCACACGTTCCCCTCACCCGGTTTCAGTTTTCCTAATTGAAACATGCCCAGGGTCCCTAATACATTTACCCGAGCCAAAAATGAGCTGTTTAATTTTTAAAATTACATCTTTTTTTTTTTTACATAAATTACTTTCCTCAACCCCATTTCCTTCTTCCTGAACACAGACGTTTAGCTTTTCTTTCATTACATGACACTAGGATAGGCCCTCATATTTATTTCATCTTGTAAGATTCAAGGCAAGATTTCACCTTGGAAGACTGACTCAAGATGAAATAAAATGTCCTATACTTAAGAATTTTTAAGGAGTGCCTGGGTGGCTCAGTGGGTTAAAGCCTCTGCCTTCGGCTCAGGTCATGATCCTAGGGTCCTGGGATCGAGCCCCGCATCCGGCTCTCTGCTCAGCAGGGAGCCTGCTTCCTCCTCTCTCTCTGCCTGCTTCTCCGCCTACTTGTGTCTCAGTCTCTCAAATAAATAAAATGTTTAAGGTCCTATACTTTAGGGATTTTGGGTCAAGATCCAGTTAGACAACATCACTACTGTCATGAGACTCATGCCATTCACATAACTGGTAAGCAAGACTTCTCTGCTTTCATACAATTCAACGGGCCAACTCTTGGGTAATGTAAAGCCCTCTTGGGTTTCATGAAGTAACTTCTAAGGCATATCATCAATCAATTACAAATCCAACCAATTATCTGTATATCCAGTTATTCTCCATGCAAAGATATTCCCCGTGTCAGGGAATATCTGACCTACTGCATTCTCCACATTTTCTTTTTACTAGTCTAATAGGTTTGCATGTTCTGGTTCTACGGGTAAAGATTTAGATCGTCCACCCAATAAAAAGGAATGCATTCCCCCCATGGCTCTGAGACGCTTAGAATAAAAAGGGAATTTTCTACATTTAACATCCACTGGCAACTCACTGAAGCAATGAATGGCCACGTGTGGACACTGGTGCTCATAGAGAATCCATGGGGAGTACCTGACGAATCACAAACTAAAACCACAGCAAATAGCAAGGTGGTATTGATCGTATTCCTCCAGGAAGAAAAGAGAATTCAATTTATCCTGTTGAAATTAGCACTCGTCTTAATTATAAGGCTTGCAGAACAAAATGGCACAAGATAGCAATTTATGATTGAAATCCTGATTAAGAAGGATAATTCAGACATGTGGACCCAACGATAGCTATACTCAGCTGTATCAATCACTGCCAGAAGATTTTTTCTGAACACTTTACTTCTCCTCAAAAGATGTCAATAACTTCCCATTCTGTTTATCTCTGGAAACCAGGTCGTGGAATTAGAGTTTTTAAATTGCAAAATAAAATTGACAATGCTTTCAGGAAGGCTGCAAACTCATTGCCCTTCCTATCATACTGGTGAGTTCCTTAAAATGAGAAAGACACTTTTTTTTTTTTTTTTTTTTAAAGATTTTGTTTATCTATTTGTCAGAGAGAGAGAGGGAGAGAGAGCGAGCACAGGCAGACAGAATGGCAGGCAGAGGCAGAGGGAGAAGCAGGCTCCCCGATGAGCAAGGAGCCCGATGTGGGACTCGATCCCAGGACGCTGGGATCATGACCTGAGCCGAAGGCAGCTGCTCAACCAACTGAGCCACCCAGGCGTCCCGAGAAAGACACTTTTAAAAAACTTTTAAAAAGCATCATAATGTCAAAAACAAAACTCTTTAAACTTACCTCATAGTAACTCCGAACTGCATTGCAAAATGCTTCATCGGCCACGATTTGGGTTTCTCCGTTGAGGAAGGCCTGGAACCTTTCTTTCAGTAACTGCAATTGTTGCTTGTTAAGCTGCAAGGAAAAAAAGGGAATTAGCTGAAACATGAACGCATCAGAGAAATGCAATGATTCTTAAAGATTATGATTGCTGAAAGTTAATTTAACACCTAGAACCAGATTTATGTTAAAGAAAAAAAAAAGCTACTTATACGATGGCTTAATTTTAAAAGGTTTCCAGTTCACTTCTTAGACTCTGGAATCCTAATATTGCAATGCAATATAAATTTCTACAGATGGGAGTTCCTGTATTTCCTGCCCCAGTCTCTTTATAGAAGCAGGTAAAAATCTAAAATTCGGAAGAGAAATGAACTGTTGTGCAAAATCGCCAGCTGTCCTGAACAGAAGAGCCAAAAGGACAAATATCCTGGGAGATGAGTGAGGAACAGCTGCCTTAGATGAAGGAAAATGGGAAGAGAGAACACAGAGGACCCTGAGAAAGAATCCTCTGGAAAGAACACCTTTTGAACCCAAAGTTTGGGTTCCATGTGCATTCCTCAATGCTTGAGGTGAGACAGAGAACTGATGAGACAAATCCTGAGAACAGAGAGGCAACAGGCAGACAGGGAGGGAATATTTAAGCACACCAAGGGAAGAGCTGTACACCAGGGGAGGGGAGTTCGAGTGCACAACCACATTTCCTCACCCTAGATCTGAGAACCATCGTTATTACCGAAGGTGGCTGGGACACGGATCGTGAGTTACCAACCATGTCCTCTGGTCATCGGCAACAAGCAGTGTCGGCTACTTAATTTGTAGGGCTTGGTGCGATGTGAGAATGAGGAGCCCTGTGTTAAAAAAATTAAGAATGTGAGGATGGTAGGAACAGAACCTTACACCAAGCATGGGCCCTTCTAAGCATGGAGCCCTTGCAACTGTCCCTGAAGTCAGCCCTGACCATGGGCGCAGACTTCAGCAGAGGTGGGCCACAGGAGGTAGGGCACCAGATTAAAATGCTCAACTGTGAGAGCACAGTGTTGCCGATAAAACACAATCCCAAGATATCATAAGGAACAGGAAAGGAGTGATCTTTCCATTTAATTTGATCCTCCTCCCACTCCTGAACAACTCCGTCCAGTTCTGGATTCTACAGAGAGAAACATGAAGCATTTGGAAATACACTGGGGAGAAAATGATGAAAAGATTAGGAAGGAAGACAAACTGGTAGGATTTGGCTTCAAAATGAAGGCTGATGCGACCTCCGTTTAAATCTGTTCAAAAGACTTATTAAAATGCCATTCAAATAGGAGAGTCAAGAGCTTTCAAAAAAAAAAAAAAAACAAAAAACAAAAAACCCTTTTTTGTTAGATCCAGAAATCTGACAAAACAGTTTGTAGAGAAACTGTTGCTGGTAGTAACAGACCAGTAGAGAACTGCCCTATTGTACCCCAGAGTAAGAAACCTCTTCCCCTGCATAGTGAAGGAAAAAGACCACTCTGTGTAAGGTCATCGTCTTCATTTTAGGGAAGCTAAACCAAGCTCAAGAGCAGAGCCATCACCATTATATTACACTTTCCGCTTCTGTGGATACGGAGAGCATTGAAGCAGGAACCTTTTGTGTGTGTGTGTACTGGCAAGGTCAATTAAGTCCCCAACTTCAGCTCTTTAAGCATGCTCAGGAAAGGACCAGATGGAAACAGGACAGCAGTTGCTGACAGCAAGACAGCTGAGAACAGTTGAGCTGCCAAGCCCAGGAGCTGCTAGGAAGGGCTTCAATTTGCAAACCAAGTGTCCAGGTAACATAATGGACGTGGAAAAATGTAGAAATAATGGATTGGAGGGGATCTTACTGAGCCTTTGCCCCATTTCTGTCATTTGATTAAAACAAAAAATATAAATAGCTTTCAAAACCTGAAAACTTCTATTTTCTTTCATCAGATGCATTCTGCTCTTTACAGTGTTTGTTTCACCAATGAGTTACTTTTTGAGGATTATGGCACAGGAAATTCATGAATGCCAATCAAGGAAAGGAGATCTGCGCAAACCATCTTCTTGGAAACACCAACAATGTTAGTATAGCTCACAAATGTGCCAGACTTCAATAGTTTTATGAACAATTACTGAAGTTACATTTAAGACCTAAAATGTCAGCCAATATTATAGTGATAGAAGTCAATCAGTAAGTACTTTTAAAGTAGAGACGTCTGTATTTCCACAAAAGATTGGGAGGAAAAAAATTAAATTTTAAATCTAGCTACAGGGATAGCCATTTAGAATGCAGAGTTCCCTAAATTCTATTTGCATTATCAAAATAAACCATATTATATATCAACAGAGAGACTAATGGAATAGATCCAAGAATTAGATCCAAATGCACTCAGAAACGTACTAGAAAATACCTTTATAGCACCTCAAGTCAGTAGTAAAAGATGGCCTATTTAATCAATGGTGTTAAAGTAACTGGGTAACCAAGCAGAAAAAAATTAAATTGTATGACACATGACACATGTGTTACATTAAACAGTATGACACATACTGTTACATTAAAAGTTTTTAACTCACTGGAATGATAAAAAGATGAAACCATAAAGGTACATGATAAACATAAAAGGTTTCCTTTTAACACTAGTATGTGAAACACCTTTCTAACCATGAACCCAAATCTCCAAGTCATAAATTTAAACATTAAAAATAAATCATGCATGGAAAAAATATCATAGGCAAAATCATTAGAAAAAGACCAATGAGGAAAAAACATATGTGTGTAACTTCCATCTTTAAGAGCTAATTTCCAAACATAGATCCCAGAAACTATTAGGAATCTGACCAGTAAATCAATAGAAAAACGGACAAAGTGGATATATTTAAGCTAGGATAGCATGCCTAACTTCATTCATAGTAAGCAAAATGCAAATTAAATCTGCATAACAGAGGAATGATTCTGGGAAGATGGTGGAGTAGAAAGCACCAGAAATCTCTCTCGTACCTAGACTACAACTGCATTGGCAGTTTCTGCCTAATATAAGTATTTCGGAATTCTGGAGTCTACTAAAGGCTTGCAACTTACAGGGAAAGGTTTAAATGTAAACTGCAGGAAATTTTGGCCAATTTTAGCTCCTAGCACAGTTGCAGCTAGTCATCTCCCACCCCTAAGGTCAATGGCGAAAAAAAGGAAAAAAAGAAAAAAAAGCTAACAGCCCAAATTTTCATAAATAGAGGGCTAATAAATGCCATATTCAAATACTGGCAATACTATTAGCTCCATAAAAAGAACAAACAGGTTCCCTTATGTATGGATATGAAAACATCTTCAAAATACCTATGGGGAGGGAAGTTAGTTATAGAACACTGGGTAAAAATAAGCCACCACTCCCATAGAAAAGGGGCAAAACAGAACACGTATGTGAATTTGTTTCCATATGCAGATGCAAACTATGGAAGAAGGATGGCTGTGCGCACTGGACAGATGGAAAATAAATGAAAGATTTTCCAACCTATTCTTCTATATTTATTTTAGAATTTTAAATCACAGGCTTGACTAAATTTTTCATTTCGATTTAAAATAAGCTATGATAGCCACTTTGCAAATCTTTTAACTCAGAACAATTATGATCCATTGCATGAAGGTTAGATCTGATCATCTTCCAGGGAGACTGGACAACAGATGAACTGACTTTTCAAGTCTCCTTTCAAGTAGAAGATGTGAACTTGACAGTGCCCCACTTTTTTTTTTTTTTTAACATTTCAAGGTTGATAAGTTCTTTGATATTCAGACTGATTTTAGTACATGAATAATCCTATTCAATATCCTGATCAACACAGTAATCTTTACGAAATCCCTATGAATTCCTCTCTCAGCCTTCCTTTGAGCCTATTAAAACTGACACACACTTTCATTACCTCACAATAAAGCCTACACTAATTTTCAAGAATTGAAACCTGTTGCCCCTATGACTTTCCCACAATCTTAGTTCGAACACCAAGACAAAATGTTACTTTCCTTCTTGCACAAAGCAGTTCAGAACCTGGAAGACAGGGGCTGGCTTGTTGGTGAGTCTTCTCCTTCCCAGGATGAACTCTGCCAGTTCCCCAACATACCAATGGTACTCTCTAATTTGTTCATAAATTAGGCATTCAACTGTTAAGTAAAACTTAGTTACATCTAAGTACAAAAAAGCACACTGAAAGCTATAACATACAAATGAAACCCATTACAATAGGGATGTCCCTCATCAAATGTGCTGGGTAGACCCATCCTGATTCTCTGAAGATAGTGTGGCCAACACAGACAAGTGGGAGGGCCGCTTCCCACATTCCAAGCACTATTAATTCACACCAAAAACAAATGAACTCTTCTTGGCAGTCACATCAACTGACTCACATCGTCCTTATTAACAAAAATTTCTAAAACATTCTTACACGTTTCATTAAGCCACATTTCATCTTGCTAGAATTGGTCTATTGTTCCAGTTGATTAATATTTTGGTAGAATTCTAGTTCCTTCACCTAATGACCCAGAACTCTCCTAGCTTTATGTCCACTGACTTAACATGTTATCCACAGGTCTTTGTCCAGGTCATAAGAAACTTTCGGTTCAGATTAAGAAACAGGAAACCTCTGATAGCATGGGTTCATCCAGTTTGACACAATTAACATTCTTTGGGGCAGTTAACTTTATAATGATTTATCCTGTATTTTCGTTTTCCCCCATATACTGTCTCTACCCTAGTATGTTTACCAATGAATGCATAACATTTTTCAAATACAGAGAAAATTTTAGACAGATTTTTTTTTTAAGTTTTATTTATTTATTTGACAGAGATTACAAGTAGGCAGAGAGGCAGGCAGAGAGAGAGGAAGGGAAGCAGGCTCCCCGCTGAGCAGAGAGCCCAACGCAGAGCTCGATCCCAGGACCCCGAGATCATGACCTGGGCCGAAGGTGAGGCTTAACCCACTGAGCCACCCAAGTACCCCAAATACAGAGAAAATTTTAATGTGAAAATTATCCAATGGGAATTTTTAGAGAGCTTTTTATATGCAATTAAATTGCAGAAACTTGAACATAAATATCCTTG